TTATGTGGTTGTTCCTTTCTTTGTCCCCTTGACTTATTATATCCCTTTTTTTAATGGGAGGAATTTCTGCCCAGCCACGTTCAGGACATATCTGAGGAAGAAAGCCTTCACTGTGCCACTTCAGAAATATATATATGTATATGCTATGGGCTGCGCACAGCTACAATCCCAGCACTTTGGGAGCCTGAGGCAGGAGAATTGCTTGAGCCCAAGAGTTCCAGACTATACTAGGCAATATAGCAAACCTTTTCTCTACAAAAAAATTATTTTAAAATAAAGAAATATACACTATGAATGATAAAGAACCTTTGCATTATTTTGTTTATTTGATTTGCTTGGTTGATATTAAAGAAAGAGTCCTCAATTTTTCTGAAAATTTTTCCTTCCTGCCTTAGAACACAGAAATAACTTTCATTCCTTAAAAATCAGACAGGGAGACATTTTAGTTAAAAATGAAAAGAATAGATTTGGGACTTTTTATCTCAGTCCCAGGGGAAAACATCTTCCTAGGGTAAATCCAAAGGAGGAATGTGTCTGGAAGTCCTCCCAACGCTTCTTGCTTCTCCCACACACATACCTCAATGCCTTTTTGAGAGTCTAAGCTCAATAATCTCAGTCACAGATCCCCACAATCCTTCAGCTCAGAGCTGAAGGAATCTGCATGGGACTTGCCTTACTGTAATCAAGTAATTGCTTTGCTAGGCTGCAAGCTCCTGTGAGGACAGCAGGGTACAGGACATGGGGAGTTTACAGCCAGAGGCCTGGGTTTCAGACCCGGCTCTGCCATGTCCTGCTTCGTAATGCTGGGCAAGTTACTTAAGCTCTCTGAGCTTCCATTTCCTCCTCTGTAAAACAGAAATAATCACGAAGCTCACCCTGCTCAACTTGCGGTTATTCCTGCCTAAGCTTCAGTTTCTTCCCCTTGGCATCTCCAAACCTAAGATAAAACTCCTCTGTCCTTCCTGCATTGGATTGCCCTGGATGATCCTTCCTCCACTGAACTGAATTTGGGATAAACTCTGAAGTGCTGCCCAAATGTGAAGGATCCAGCCCCACATCAGAGCACCAAGCTCAGGTTTTGGCCTGTGCCAAGTGAGATGAAGCAGGGTAGAAGCTCAGAATAGAGAAAGAAAACCCATTTCCTCCCTGGTGTCTAGGTGGAAGCAAACTCCACACTAAATTATGTTGCAAATATGCCCCAAAGTAGTTTTAATTTTATTGGCACTGATTTTAATTTACTCTTTAGGCCCCTGATTGGAAGATGAGCTGCTGGCTGCTGGCAAGGGAACAGCCCTTCATCATTCTGTTTTAATTAAGGTTCTTAAGTTTGGAAGGAAAGGAGATGCTCTCCCCATCCCCCACCTTCTATTCTCATTCCCAAATTGTAATTAAGGGCCCTACTTTTGTGACACATACCCCTTGGTCTGGCACAGCCACAGAAAAGTACCTAGTTTTACTGTTGGAAAAGCTTGAGATGCATTTGTTTATTCATTAATTCACTTATCTTTCCATCAGTTCATTCTCTTATTCATTCCTTTGTAAACCTTCAGTGATGACCTACTATATACAAGGCCTTATTCTGGCCCTGTGGATTGAAAAAAATCAACAATATGAGGTCCCTGCCCTCAAAGAGCTCACATTCTGGGGGGAGATGAAAATAAAGGGTTATTATGTCATGTGGTAAGTCCCGTGAGAGAGATATATACCTTGAATTATGAGAGTGCAGAGGAGGCTGTTAACTCAGCCTGAGGGATAAAATAAGGCTTTTTGAATTGAGATTTTGTACTAGTCAAGATGCATGATATTAGCTTCCATAATAAACAATCCCCAAATTTAAGTGGCTTAATACAGTGAAGATTCACTTCTCTCTCACACCAGTCTGATGCAGATCAGGTGACTCTCCTTGCTGTTGTCCTCTAAGTGTTGAATGGAGGATATAGGCTTCTTTCTTCTTAGGATATCATCATTTTTTACATGTAGCTCCCCATGCAGAAGGGCAAGAGAGAATGCGGGTAATTGTGTATGAGGAGTTTTATGGGCAGGTCTGGAAGTTATCATCATTGCCCACATTCCATTTGATCCCAACCAAATGTCAAGGGGGATAGAAATGTCAGTGGGGAAGAGATGCACAATTCAATAAATGGTGTTGCAACAGTGAAATTTAACCCTTACCTCACATTCCACGGCCATATAAATTGACACTGAAACAAAACATTGAAAACTAAACAACAAAATAATAAAATGGAAGCAACAGTAAAATAATTCAGCTAGGAAACCACAAAAGAAAAGACTGATAAACTGTGTCAAAAATCAGCATTTAAAAATTACATGAAAAATACATGAACAGAAGTAAAACAGAAAGACAAATGACAAAAGTATCTTTATATTACACATAAAGGTTAATTTCTATAATACATAGCTTCTCTAAGTCAACAGAAATAAAGCCCAACAATCCGATTTTTTAAATGGTCAAAGGCAATGAACAGAGTTCTTAGAAAAGAGAATGCAAATCACTTTTGTTTATTTATTTTATTATTTATTTATTTTTTGAGATGGAGTTTCACTCTTGTTGCCTAGGCTGGAGTGCAATGGTGCAATCTCAGCTCACTGCAACCTCTGCCTCCCAGGTTCAAGAAATTCTCCTGCCTCAGCCTCCTGAGTAGCTAGGATTACAGGTGCCCACCAGCACACTCAGCTAATTTTTTTTTTTTTTTTTTTTTTTTGTATTTTTAGTAGGGACGGGGTTTCACCATGTTGGTCAGGCTTGTCTTGAACTCCTGACCTCAGGTGATCTGCCCACCTCAGCCTCCCAAAGGGCTGGGATTATAGGCGGGGGCCACTGTGCCCGGTCACAAATCATTTTTAAACATATGAAAATATGCTTAACTATACAGTAAAAGATAATTATATAGTACTAAGAGAAATTCAGATTAAAACTAATCTTAGATATTACTTTTCACCCATCAAATTGGCAAATATCAAAAAGTTTGATTCCACCTATATTGTCAAGGTAATAGGCTAGGAGTGTTCTGGCCCTTCTAAGGTCAGTCTGTCAGTATTAATCAGAATTGCAAATGCACATAGGATCCAGAAATTTCACTTCTAGGAATTTATTATTTTTTATTATTATTACTATTATTATTATTATTATTATTATTATTATTATTTTGAGATGGAGTCTCGCACTGTCGCCCGGGCTGGAGTGCAATGGTACGATCTTGGCTCACTGCACCCTCCACCTCCCGGGTTCAAGTGAGTCTCCTGCCTCAGCCTCCTGAGTAGCTGGGATTATAGGAACCCACCACCATGCCCGGCTAATTTTTTGTATTTTTAGTAGAGATGGGGTTTCACTATGTTGGCCAGGCTGGTCTCGAACTCCTGACTTCGTGATCCACCCGCCTTGGCCTCCCAAAGTGCTGGGATTATAGGCATGAGCCACAGGGCCCAGCCAGGAATTTATTTTACATACAATTGTATATGTGTGAAATAATGTATATACAAATTTCATCACTCAGACATTCTTTGTAACAAGAAAAGATTGGAAATACCTTAAATATTTATCAATAAGGAACTAGTTAGTTACAAAGAATGAGGTAACTATTTATTAAGAAAGAATCGCCTCTGAGATACATTCAGAGAAGAACAGCAGATCTGAATGGTGTGTTTATGGTGCTATCATTCATGTGTTTGGAGCAGGGGGTTTGGGTGAGGAGGAAATATTTCCAGAGATATTTACAAACTATCTCTGGAAAGAGATATGCAAGCCTGATAGCATTAGCTGCCTCTGGGGAGCAAAACTGGGTGACCGGTAGAAGGGAGATTTTTTACTATAAATTATTTTATAACGTTTGGCTTTCAGATTATATGATCAATCAAGATAATTCAGGTGCTGGTTCTTTCAAGTGAAGTCACATCAGCTGCCAGTTGTCAGGATGGGATGGAGGAAGCCACACCTATATGGTTATCAGAAAAATGTGACAAAATTACACTTGTACCCCCATAAATCTATGCAAATAAGTTTTTAAAATTTAATTATTTTTAAAAAATGAAAAAGTAAAAGAAAAGCTAGGTTCTAATTCTTGATTTTTCACTAACTTGCTGGCCAACCTTAAGCAAGCAACCTCCCCACTCAGAGCAGGTCTGAGAAAGGTCAGAGAAACTGGTTTCCAAGGCCCTCCCTAGCTCTGACATCGAGAGACACAAACTGTAGCTTTTCCTTCCACATTTCTTAAATCATCTTTCTACCTCCTCCTTTCCTGTGCAGCTCATCAAAAGCTGAGAGGAAAAGACAGACAATTGAAGAAAATAAAATTGTGAAGATGACTTTTATAGGGCTCCTGTTGAATCATTGTGTATTCCACCTCCAAAGCTGAAAATGATGAGTTTAATATCACATAGAGCAGTGCATCTTGTATCTCCCAAAAGACAGCTTATGCTACCCAGAGAACTGGGAGCTTGGCAGACATAATTTTTCACTCCAACTCTGAGGCAAATGAAATGACAGTCATTGAGCCCACATTCTAGAAGCAACATAGTTTTCATTTGGTTTTAACTTCGTTTGAAAGCATCCCAAGGAGGGAGAATCCTTCTAAATGTGCACTTTTCTTCTTTCCCAGGACTATGTACTAGAAAGGGGATGGAGAGGTGGCCAGATTTTGCCTTGACTATTTCTAGTGTTGGCCATTGATGACAATAAGTTAATTGTGTGAGGGGGCAGGAGGCCTGAGTGTCAGCCCGGTTATTCTGTGAGCTTGGGCAAGTCCCCTCCCCATGCAGGTCTTCCGTTATTCTCAGAAAGGGTTAATGGATATATGTTGGGCTGATATATAAGAAGTGAAGGTTGGATTTGAGGACCATTGGAGATCTAATGGCCTAAAAATTACCCCACCCCCCACACCCCCTCTTTCAGCCAGTCCATTACAGTATGTGGAACAATCTCTCTGGGATTGTTTGTTCAATCATTCAGCATGTAGTTACTGAGCATCCTTTACTTACAGGCACTGAGCTCTTTATAGACAATCCTCCTAACTTCAGGAAAGGTTAACAAATAATACCATATCAACCAAGAAAGTGCCTTAAATATGTGTAAGTAAAGAGCAGAGGTAGACTAGTCAATGCCGTCTTTACAGACTACAAAGGCATTTTCCTTCATGCTTTATTTATATGCTATTGGGGAGTAGACGTGGCATCATCACACAAGGTTAACTAAAAGAGTTAAGTAAGACTTCATGTGTAAAGTTCCAAGAATGGTGTCTGGCATGTATTACATATACAGTGAAAGACAGTAATTATTATTTTTTATTTATATCACAAGATATCAGCAAGCAATATAGTAATTATTATTGCTGTGTTTGATTCCCACTATAATGCTCTGAGGTTTGAATTAAAATACCCATTTTTCAGATAAGGAAGCTGAGGCTCAAAGTGGGGACATGATTTACACCAAGCTTCCCAGCTAGAAACGGCCAAGTTGGGGCAAAACTGCAAACAGGCCCAAAGTAAATACAGTTGTGTTACCTCAAAGGTATTTCTCATTAATCAGAGAAATAAATTCCACTAATGTCTAGTCATGAATGTGTTAGCTGTTCTGAGTAAGTAATATCATGACTTAACCCAACCTAAATGTCCCTTTTTCTGAAGACCTCTTAAAAGGGATGCTAACAGTAGTGCTTTCACACCCTGAAGGAAAACCATGTTAAAAGTGAGGAGGAATTGATCCTCACCTGTCTTAAACCCTCGCCTCACATTGCAAATGGCTGCTAAATTGGCTGACACACAGGATCAGCTCGATGTGTGTGTGTGTGTGTGTGTGTGTGTGTGTGTGTGTGTGTGGTGTAGTGTCTGGTCCCTCAAAGGCAAGCTCTATGGCCCAGACTTCTCATTTGTTATCCTTTCTCTCAACAGAAAACAAGCCTGGAGTTTTATATTGACATCCACGCCCACTCCACCATGATGAATGGCTTCATGTACGGCAACATCTTTGAGGATGAGGAACGATTCCAGAGGCAGGCCATTTTTCCCAAGCTCCTCTGCCAGAATGCTGAGGACTTCTCCTATGTAAGCCAGGAGTTCTCTCTCAGCCAGCCCCAGCCCCCCACACCCTGCCTCCCTGTCTTCCTTCTCACTCAGTTCAGTTTGCTTTAAGCTCCACAGGACACCTAACTCTGTGCCAGGTCTTGTGTGGGTGATGAAGATAGAGGTAAACAAGATGTGCCCATGTTCTCAAACTGCTCATTACCAGTCAGGGAGGGAGACTCTTTGAGAAGGTAGCATTTTGGCTGGCTGATGAACTGGCATTTGGTTTTGTTTTGGGTTTTTGTTTTGTTTTGTTTTGTTTTGTTTTTTGAGATGGAGTTTCACTCTTGTTGCCCAGGCTGGAGTGCAATGGCATGATCTTGGCTCACTGCAACCTCCATCTCCCAGGTTCAAGCGATTCTCCTGCCTCAGCATCCCAAGTAGCTGGGATTACAGGCATGCACCACAACACCTGGCTAATTGTTTGTATTTTTAGTAGAGACGGGGTTTCTGCATGTTGGTCAGGCTGGTCTCGAACTCCCAACCCCAGGTGATCCGCCCACCTCGGCCTCCCAGTTTGCTGGGATTACTGGCGTGAGCCATGTGCCTGGTCACTACTGGCTAATTTTTTAAAATGTAGTTATTTATTTTGTAGAGACAGGGTCTCACTATGTTGCCAAAGCTGGTTTCAAACTCCTAGGCTCAAGTGATCCACCTGCTTCAGCTTCCCAAAGTGCTGGGATTACAGGCATGAGCAACTGTTCCTGGCCTTGTTTAATGGAGTTGACTCCAGCATTAACAAGAAAAAGAAACTCACTGAGCACCTACCACATGCCAGACCTTGCTCCACAGTCTGCTTTTACCAATCCCAGTTCTTTTGTATAAGCACAACACATCTGCTAACAGAGGTTATATGCCCACCATTCTTTTCTCCATGACTCCTTCTCAGCCTCAATTTTTTTTGTAATTGCTGGGTGATCATTTCTATCCTGCGTGCATTATAGCTTCCTGGGAGGGCAAATGCAGTTTCTGATATAAAAGTTCTTTGCAGGCCGTAAAGACCTCAACGAACTGCAGAGACGGTTGCTGTTACTAACCATCTCACATGCTGAGGACTAGAGAGGCTGTGGGGTGGGAAAAACTCATAGCAAAAGCAGTATTGGAAAAGGGCAGGAAGAGAAGATAAGGAGGGGATCAGCATGTGGTGTAGGGAGAGAGTTTTTGCACATTTTCCTTTGTTTTGATACGAAATCTCTGGGGCCTGTTATTTCCATGTGGCCAGAGGGGCAGAGGCCCACAGAGGTCATAGCAATTTTTGAAGTTGATGAGCTGAAAACTCACCTGCCCATTGCTTCAGGCCAGGACATTAGTGGAGATGATGAATTTCTCTGCGTGGTAAGATGCACTCTGAATCCCAGAACCTTTTAATGTCAAACCAGGAAAGGACTTGGCGGATTATTTAGTCCAGTCCCCTCTTTACACCTAAGAGTAAAGAGTGGCCCCAGAAAAGATGAGTATTCAGTGTAAGGTCACCCAGCATTTAATGATAGAATCAAAGCAGGTAGCTCCCCATTTGCAGCTGTGGGGCAGAAACAGCCATGCCTTTTTCTGTAAGAATCTCTATAGGATGGCCCTGTCTATTTGAGACCACCGAAGTTTCAGAAAAGAATGTGGCCTCCTTCGTCCAAGTTCCCTGGAAGGCTGGGTCATAGGCCTCAGAGACTCTTCTCACACGGGTGAGGTTTCCAGGGACTACAAAAGGTGCACAGTCTGAGAGCCTTATTTCTGAGCTCGCCTGATGTTTCTGCACTGCAGCCTCCTTAAGGGCGGGAGTCAAGGTCATCTGTCCTAGTCCAATTGCTGTCTCTTCCTTTCTCTTCCCTTCCCTTCCCTTCCCTTCTTTCGCTTCGCTTCGCTTCGCTTCGCTTCTCTTCTCTTCTCTTCTCTTCTCTTCTCTTCTCTTCTCTTCTCTTCTCTTCTCTTCTCTTCTCTTCTCTTCTCTTCTCTTTTCTTCTCTTGTCCTCAGTGCCCAAATCTGAAACAGGAGAGTTGGAGTTTACTACATGGATTTCAAAGGTCTTTTAGATCTGACATTCTATGATGTTCTGATTTTTCCTTTACCTTAAAAATAGACACACACATACACACACACACTTCTCTGTTTCTTTCACAGTCTTTCTGTGCCTTTCTTGTGTTGGTGTTTGCTTTATCTCTTTTTCTTCTTCCTTTATCTCCTGCTGAATAAGATACGTATTCTCTTATTAAAACCATGGTCTGTTCATTTACTTAAATTTCCATGGGTTAGCATAGAATGCCATTTTAACCCCAAGTGAACTGACCTTCACAACTCTGTGAAAGAGATATTTTCACCTCCAAGTTACAAATGAGAAAACTGAGGCTCAGACAAATAAGTCAGCTTGCCTGACATGCAATCAGTGGATAGTAGAGCATGTCTTTGAACAGAGGACTTGAGAGTGACATGTTTGTTCATTTCTCTATCCATTGTGACGGTTGCTGTCAACATCTTAGCAAAGAAGCAATCATGATTCCTATGCTCTAATGATTCTGGACATGAATCAGCTATCCCTAAGGGAAGCAGAGTCTTTGGTTGTCTGGAGTCACTCAGTTCTGGATTCAGATTTGTGCTGTATCACTTACTTGCTCCACCTCTATGAGCCTCAGTTTCTTCATCTATAGAGAAATAAAATGTGAACACCTACTTCAAGTGGTTATTTTGAAGCCTAAATGAGATGCTGCATGGGAAACAATATTATAAAATTGAAAGCACTGCCCAAATTTTAGGGTTTTTTTGTTTTGTTTTGTTTTGTTTTTGTTTTTTATTTTTTTTCTTTTTAAAGAATAGAGACATCCCAGCACTTCGGGAGGCTGAGGCAGGTGGATCACGAGGTCAGGAGATCGAGACCATCCTGGCTAACACGGTGAAACCCCATCTCTACTAAAAATACAAAAAATTAGCCAGGCATAGTGGTGGGCACCTGTAGTCCCAGCTACTCGGGAGGCTGAGGCAGAATGGCATGAACCCGGGAAGCGGAGGTTGCAGTGAGCTGAGATCGCGCCACTGCACTCCAGCCTGGGCGACACAGTGAGACTGTCTCAAAATAAATAAATAAATAAAATAATAATAAAAAAGAATAGAGACATGGTCTCACTATGTTGCCTAGGCTGAACTCACATTCCTAGGCTCAAGCAATCTTTCCACCTCAGCCTCCCAAGTAGCTAGGACTACGGGTGCACACCACCATGCCAAGCTCCAAATGTTAGTTCTGATTATCGTCAAAATGTAGTTGCTTCTTTTTCTCTTTCTACTTTTCCCTGCTCCCTCTGTCTCCATTCATTTTTCCGCAAATATTCGTTGAGTGGCAGTTACTGCACCTCAAGAACTCTGCTTGCTGCTGTCATTAATTATGTTTATTTAATCAGTCCTTATAATAATCATGTGATGAGGGGTTAATATCTCACTCTTCAGATGGTGAAACTGAGACCCAGAGGTGTAAAATTTGCTCACAATCCAATTGCCAGCAGGTGCCGTGATTCTTTCATCCCTACTCTGTCTTTCACAGTCCAGCACATCCTTTAACCGGGGTGCTGTGAAAGCAGGAACTGGCCGTCGCTTCCTCGGTGGACTCCTGGACCACACTTCCTATTGCTACACCCTAGAGGTCTCCTTCTACAGCTACATCATCAGTGGCACCACAGCTGCTGTGCCCTACACTGAAGAAGCCTGTATCCTTGGCCCGTCCCCACCCAGCCTTGGGCCAGCCCTCATCCAGCCCAGGGTATCCAAGTCTGAGAGGTCAGGAATTAGGCCCCCAGCTCAGGTAAGGGCTGAGACTCTCAGGTGAGGATGGAGGTGCTGGTTCTGCTGGTGACATCTTTGGATTGTCCAGTTTGCCTCAGCCTTTAGTATGACACTCCCACCCCAATTGCCATGCTCCAAATCTTTCCCAGGCCACCTGGGCCCATGGCCTGCCCATATCTTACTCTGCCTCCATTTGTCTCCCCTCTCTTCTCTCATGATGCAGCTAGTCTTCTGCCATCTAAGCTATGCAAGTCCACAGGCTGGATGACACCCCCAGGGTTGCTGAGGAAGAGCTTGATGATCTTGGCTCCTTCTAACCCTGAACATACAAAGCCATATTTTCTCTTTTCATCTTTTGTCTAACCTGTCCTCTCTCACTTTCTTTTCCCTCTACTCACTATTTCCCCTTCTACTTATTTTTCTCCCCCTTGTTCCCTCTTCTTCTCTACCCTCCTCCTCCCTCCTCACCTGTTCTGTGCTTCTCTCTCCTTACTTCTTTTTCCTCCTCCTCCCCTCCTTTCTGTCCTCTCTCTCATCCCATCCTCCTTTCCTCTCTTTCTCTCCTCTTTGCCTCTCCTCTGTCTTCCTTGTCTTTCCCGTCTCGTCTTCTGTGCATCTTTCTCTTTGCTTTTGCATTTCCTTTAACAAATTCCTTTTCCTCTTAGTTTTTTCATAAAATTTCTCTGAAAACTCCCAAGGCTTCCATGATGAAATTAGAAGTTATTTTCTAGCTTGCCCAATTTTTTTAGGGATTATATAGTAACTCTAGTTGCCTGAGTGTTGATTTTAATACCAAGTTCCCTGCATCAGCTGTAACAGATCATAGCAGATTCTGCTTTCCTTTATCCTTTGTTTTTGGGTTGATATATGTCTCCTTTCCTAACACTTAGTTTTCTCAAAGAAGTGGAGGGAGAAGGAAGGAACTTTAGATGAAATGAACTCCGTATTTCTGCAAATTCCCCCTCCCTGGAAGTAGAGGTGCTCTTTTTAGCATTTTTTCAACCCTTGGTGAATGTTTATGGAATTCCTCTGTGCAGGAAAACATCTTTTCTGAAAGTGGTATGACTTAGGGCTAGTCCCACCAGCCAATTGCAAGTTAGTGGCTCTGTTTGTATGTGTGTGTTTGGGAGGGTAGGGGGTATGGTGTTCAGGTACCTTGCCAGGAACATTGGAAGCAGGGCAATGGCCCTAGAAGGAGTGGCTGGCAGGGGGTAGGCCAGGTGTTAGAGCAGTGTCCCAGCTCCTGTTGGACACAGAGAGATTATGATTGGAACTGAGAGTTCCCTATGTACAGTCATCAAGGCTAAGAGTCATCTTGCAGTCTGCTTTAATACCCACCGGACTCAGAAAGGCCAAGGGAGTAGGCTCTGCTCTGAGGAAGAGGGTCTGTGGGTTCCAAAGTCCTGGCCACCTGTTATGTGCCACACTGCCCCTCTCCATGCCCCATACACACATTAGATGATGTATACAGCCTATGGCTTCTCCAGAATCTGCTAACTCCTATAATACAAGCATGTGCTTCATTCCACATTGTGCTTGCTTTGCTCTCCCATAATATTATGGCAAAGGGACAGAGAACTGCCTGGAATAAGAGTTTGAGCTTGTGTACCAAAGGGGATTCTGCAATTCTTATTCATAGGGAGATGAGGGCCCCTCCAGAGGAGGCCTGCACCTAGTTTGTTGTTGTTTTTTGCTGTCCAATATGACAGGTTCTCCTGCCTTTTCTTAGCCCTTCTGACATGCTTTTGTGTTAGAAGAAAATGTATTTCTTAGTAGAAAGCCCACCCTTGGTCAGGCCCAAGGTTTCCACCCCTCAACAGCCAACCCTCATTTATCAAAAGTAAACACACCATTAGTATACACTAGGAATCATAAAAGGCACCTAGGGTAAAATACTGAATAAAAAGGCATGGTTTCTGACTCTCAGAACTTTCAGTGTACTTGAGGAGACAATGTACATGATAAATTCTGTGGTGGAGGAATTCCAGAAGGCTCTGGGACATTTTCATTTGACAAGTATATATTGAGTGCCTGTCATAGGTCAGGTAAAGTTCTAGGCACAGGGAATGTTAACAGAGAACACACTAAAGACAAGAATGTCTTTACATGGGGGAAAGAGGGAACTCACACGCAGTCCTGGGAGTCAGGGAAGATTTCCCAGGAAAAGAGACCTCTGAACTGAGGTTTTTTGTTTGTTTGTTTTTGAGATGGAGTCTTGCTCTGTCACCCAGGCTAGAGTACAGTGGCACGATCTCGGCTTACTGCAACCTCCGCCTCCTGGGTTCAAGCAATTCCCCTGCCTCAGCCTCCTGAGTAGCTGGGATTACAGGTGTGTGCCACCATGCCCGGCTAATTTTTGTATTTTTAGTAGAGATGGGGTTTCACCATGTTGGTCAGACTGGTCTTGAACTCCTGACCTCGTGATCCACCTGCCTCGGCCTCCCAAAGTGCTAAGATTACAGGTGTAAGCCACTGCACCCAGCCTGAAGTGAGTTTTTAATATGAACTAGTCAAACTGGGTGAGGGTGTTGTTGAAGCGAGGATGTGGTAGACGGAGAGGGGCGTACAGAAGGTATGGGCAGGAGCTGTAAGTGGTCCCTTGTGGCTGAAGGACTTCAGACACAATGATACATTTGAAGTGGAAAGCTGTAAGGAGTTTGATCTTGAATGTAGACAATGGAGAGCAATAGAAGGGTTTTTAATGGGGATGAAGGGCCACTCTGATGGCAGTGGAAAGGACAGATTCGAGAGGGCCAGTGTTGTAGGCAGGAACATGCATTAGGATGCTGTTATAAAAATACAGGTGAGAAATAATTCAGGCCAAGACCAGAGTGGTGGCTGTGGAATATTTATAATGTGGAACTGAGAAGACTTGGTAATTGACTATTTGGGAGTGGCGGCAGGGAATGAGAGCTCGTGATTGGAAGGGGTTAGGGTGAATAGAGAGGCTATGTACAAGTTGAGCCGGCCATGATGCTGATGGGCCTACCCTGCCTTGTTCTGTCCTCCAGAGGATGAGAAGAGGAAACAAACTGCACCAGGGAAGCTTAGGCCAATTCAATGCATGCAAGGGTGATTTAACCTGGGTTCTGTCTGAAATACTTAAAAAAAAAAAAACCGACTTTCATTTCATAACAGAGGGAGACTTCAGGGAGACAGATTGTGATCTTTGTTGGCTGCTGGCTCCATGTCCCAACCAGAAAAAGAAATTACATGGTCTGATGGGAAAGGCAATATGGTCTGGGAGAAAATGTCCTCTAGACTAGGAATCAGGAGACCTGGATTCTGATGACAGCACCAACATCATCCCAGAGAGCACCCTCCTGCAAGTCCTGTAACCTCTCTGAGGTGAGCTTCCTCACCGTTACGAAGGACCAAAGACCTTCACACTTGTCTAACCCCTGCTGTGGGAATTAAATAGAGATATTCATTAAAATATAGATATGGTATTATGCAAACAGAACAGACTTTCGATTCAGACATATCTAGGTTTGAATCCTAGGCTCACCCACTTACTAGAGTGTCACCTTGGGCAAGTTGTATAACCTCACTGGGCCTCAGATTAGTTTCCTAATCTGTAGCAGGAGGATGTAATAATACTTAACCTCACCGAGTTGCAATGAGGTTAAAGGAAATAGCTTGTGTGAGTGTGCACTGTGAACTAAATATTAAGTGACGTTGAAAAGGTTTATGTGAATGTGAATGAGGACCACTGTCTGTGTGAAAGAAGATAGATAGGGCTGTTACAGCAAGAGATCAGCGGCTGTTGTTAGGTTTGTTGGGCAAAGAGCATTGGTGGGGTCATCACAGTTAAGGGTCTTGCCTTGACCACAGAACAATGACTGGTTCACACAGTGGGAGATGTACTGTCCCATTGATGGAGTTTCTTGTTGCTGTCATCCAGGGTGCCCCCTTCCTAGTATCATGGAGGCCAGACTAGTTAGCTAGAGGATACTGGATGAGTATAACATCAGAAAGGGCTGGGGATGCAGAGAATCCCAAGGGATATTTCACCTAGGTCCAGAATAGTGTCCACCACTCCACAGACCAGAGCGTATGTATCCATTGGTTCAGTTCTTCTCCTTGGAAAAGCATCAGCCAAACATGACCAGGGTTTTACTCTCTCTGACTTCCCTTCTCGTCTATATCTGGGAAATAAAGCAATGGACATGGTTGTTGTCATACTTGGCTGTGTGACCTTGGACTGGTTATCTCACCACTCTGAATTTCTTCCCCCATTTGTAAAATAAAAACAGTACTCACTTTGCATGGTTATTGGGAGGGTGAAATATGGCACTATATCTGCATTCCCCTGGTACTGCCTGGCATCTGATAGGTACTTAACAAATATTCTTGTCTTGACTTTTCTCAGCCCCATGCAGACTACATGGCTTTCCTTCTGTTGGTTGAATCTTTAACTTGACAATCTGGCTTTGAAACTAGCAACTAGGATTTGAATTTTGACTCCACGCTATTATGGGTGGCCTCCAGCAAGTCTTGTCCCCTCTCTCAGCCTCTGTGTGTTATTCTTCCTACCCATCAGAGTTTTGTGGAATAAAATTATGTGTGGACTTGATCACTTCCAGCTCTGACATTCTAAGATTTTCCTGATTCTAAAATATAAGTTATATAATTCCATGCTTAGATGAGTTGGATAACTAATCCATGGATTATCAATATTCCATGTTATCAATAATCCATAATTTTTATTGAGTTTTAATATTCAGTGATTCCATGAACAAAAGAGTTTCTAATTTAATAGGGAAAATCAATACAAAAGTGTCCTGGGCAGCTAGTCAGGCCAAACCAATAGCTACTTTCATTCTTTTAGTTTAGGGGTTCTTAATTGAGGGGCTTACAGATGGCTTCAACAAAAGCCTGTGAACCAACTAAAATGTAGGCGAAGCTGTGAGTAAATATGTAGAGTTCATTTTTGGGGGGGAAGGCCCATAGCTTTCAACAGAACCTAAAAGAGAGACATCCTCAGAGGCTTCTGCCGTGGCCGGTGGCCTCTTGGCCTCTCTCCTGTCCATGCTGTGGCAAGAATACGACGCTGGTGTCAGAGTCCTGGGTGTGAGTTCTTTTTTGCATCATTCTCACTGAGAGCCCTAATCCCATATTTAACTACTCCGAACCTCAGTTTCTTCATCTGTAAAGTGAGGATGATTATTTACTTCACAGGGTTGTTGTTAAGGCTGCATGGGAGAATGCATGCAGATAAATCACTGGGCATATGGTCTGTGCCGTTAAATATTAGGTCCCTTGCCTTTCCTTCCTGTCATTTGTTGTTTTTGTGAAATGATAAATTCCAATGAATTTTGAACCATTCTTCAGGAAACCCTATTTACATTTTACTGGCCTGCCAAGTAATAAATATGCTCTGTCCAAATGATTTGAAAAAGAGAGAGAGAAAGGCTAAACTGGAATCA